ATTCGTACTGGTCGATCTGGACTGAACCGACTCACAGTTCCTATCCAGTCCCTGGAGCAGGTTGATTCTCAATTCGTACTGGTCGATCTGGACTGAACCGACTCACAGCTCCTCTCCAGTCCCTGGGGCAGGTTGATTCTCAATTCGTACTGGTCGATCTGGACTGAACCTACTCACAGCTCCTCTCCGGTCCCTGGAGCAGGTTAATTCTCAATTGGTAATGATCAATCTTTACTTGAAACATCACGATAGGAAAATGAACTTGCAGAATTCAACTAGAAGTTCTTTCATGGGGAAACTAGCTGACATCAAAACACAGCAAACTGTTCATCATTCTTGACCTGTCCTGACACCAGGCATTATAAATAACAAACACAACTCCTCGCACTGATATAGCATCATTCATGCCAATGAATCTCCCTCGACACTATTGCTACCAGCCAGAGTGTAGTTCTATTTTGATCTTTTCCTAAATAGTTTCATTTTCAGCCACCGACCGATTGTATTCGCCTATCCTAAAGCGTATAGCATAAGCAACTTTATTATACTATACACAGCTGAAGAACAAAACAGAAGCGTGAGTGTATCGGGCGAAACTGATGACCCAATATTCCCCTCTCCGCATTCCCGTGGTAATACAGCATCTAGAACTCCTCCTGAAATGAGGACATTTCTTTCTGCCCTAAAGAGAACCCTGTGCAGCAAGTAGTTTTCATATTTAACACAGGTCAGGCGTTCGGCACTGCAGAGAGCGGTACCTCTTTCACGCCGAGAAGACGCGTCAGAGCAGCGCTAGGCTGGCTGTGAAGTGTCTATTTTCTGTATCTGTTTTAATATTTTGTCTCCTTTTGTGTATTTCTGATGTTTAAATTAAAAACTTTTTTTTAAAAGAAGCAACGGGAACGTACTTCCTGTGGGCGAGCTCCGTGAAGCCGCCAATAGAAAAGGAACTTCCTGTCAGAGAGCCTACGGAGAATTTCAAAATAAAAGTCCCCAAACCTTAAAGAACCGAGCTGGATTATCTGATATTTTAATGTAAAAACAAATTCCTTCCATTTTTAAACGTCTTCAGTTAAAATGCATTTCTTTCTACGTGTCAGTTACTTTACCGGGTCCGCTGGTGAAATTCTTCCCTTGGACTACAAACTCTCTGGAGGGGGGACACAGTTACGTTCCGCATTCAGGTCTAAGAATAGTGTACGCTCCAAATAAATGAAGGCCTTGAGCCAGAACGGAATTTAGATGTTGCGTCTTGAAGGTAACGAGTATCAGCAGCTTTCATAATGAAATCAGCTTAAGGAAACGGAAATATTCATACTTTATCGTCAAAACAGTCGCCAATCCATTATTTAAATATTCGAGTGGGAGCTGTTTCTAGCGAGGAATCAGCATTCTAAAAGTTGCCTTTTTAACTTACTCTCAGTCGCAACTATTGAAACCTTGGCTTTGATCAGCTGCGTAGTAGTAGTAGTAGTAGTAATCACAGATCTGGTGCCTACCCTAAGGGTCAAATACACCAGCAGTGATGACGTCAGGCGATATTATCAGAGACGAGATGTGCATAAAACGTGAATAGTAAGAAATAATGCAAATTGTCCTGGTAAAGCTGCTTTTTCTTTGTATGCACAGCTCTGTCAGGACAGTAGAGGTTATCAGTTTAGCACAGGTGCAGCTCAGAATCAATCGCTTTTAGGGTATCGATGCAATTTCCAAATCCTGCTCTGTCTGAAGGTCTCTGGGTTCTCGGGAGACATGAGTACGAGTGACGATGCACCCCGTTCCGTCATGAAACCGTTACTGCATAGCCGCTGCGCCGGAAACAGCCCGCGCCAGACAGCCTGGAAGAGTTTCCGGTGTGGGGACTGTTTCCGAGAGGGAAACACCTCCCCCTGCAGGCGCCTAATAATAATAATAATAATAATAATTAATCATCATCATAATACGAATTCCCCTCAAGAGTGCAGCTATAAGTGGGGAGAAGAACAGAGTGATGAAGCCAGTTCAGAGAGGGGGATTATTAGGAGGGAATGACTGGTAAAGGCCAGGGCGATATTTGGCCAGGACGCCTACTCTTTTCGAGAAATGTCCTGGGCTTTTTAATGACCGGAGTCAGGACCTCGGTTTTACGTCTTATCCGAAGGACAGTGCCTGTTTATAGTGTAGTGTCCCTGTCACTCTACTGGGGTAATAACAACCCACACAGACTGCAGGGTGAGCGCCCCCTGCTGGCCCCACTAACACCTCTTCCAGCAGCAGCCTTAGCTTTCCCAGGTCTCCCATCCAGGTACTAACCCGGCTCACAGGTGCCGATATCCAGCGGGCTGCCAGTTCTGGCTGCTGACCCATGTGGCTTCAGGCCCTAGAAAGCAGAACCTGAGTGTTGTGCTGTGAGCTGTTAGGATCATTTATGCGGGGTTTTCCCATTCCGGTAGGTTCAACGTAGCAGAATGTGGGCGTCGTCACTTACCAGTGCAGGCCAATAGAGGGCCCTCCAGTCTAACTCCAGTTCTGTAGGCCACCCTCAAGCAAGTGTTTAAACTTAATGGGAGCTCTTCTTAACTATCCGTTAAGCGATTTGTTCAGTTCAGGTGACACCAGCCCTTAAAGCGGAACAGGTTTCCGTTCTGAATGAGCTCTAAATGTTATCATCAGTTGCTTGATTAACTGATGACAACACAATTCATCAATGTTGGGAATTTAACAGCAGCCTACAGAACCCGCTGGATTAGGGTGCAGAGACGGGGCAGGAGGCCTCTGTGATACAGGCGCCTGTGGTAAGCCTGTGCAAGGCAGCTGTGAGTTCCTTAACAGCTTAACAGGACCAACAACACTCATCAGACTCCTGTCACAGAGCAGTCAGGTCCACTCCAGGTTTTACAGGACACAAGAGGCCCCTACTTAGGGAACAAAAACAGCCTTCCTGCTTTCTTCGAATTGCTGTGCAAGGGGAATGTTCATCTGCATGCACAACTCACTTGTAATTAGGCCTGACGAATACGAGAACACAGAAGCACGCTCTCACATCTGAGGAGTCACACTCACAGATTTCTGCACACATACAAAGGTCCACACTGAAAAGACACACATGTACACAGCTGGACTGGTACGTATGCACACACTGAAACTTCACAGGCCATTTGGAGTTACGGGTGATGCTAAAGGGCAGGATTGGGATAGAGAGAGGAGGACATTAAAGGATGAGAGTGAGGGGAACTGTAGAGAGTTCGGATTGGGATCAGGCGTAGGATTTCTGGAGTTGGCGACAGAGGAGTAGGATTGCAGGCAAGGGGGAGGTTAGGAGCAACAGTGAAGCAAGAGTCTTGGACCAAGTGGAAACCTGAGGGGAGGAGTGCTGGACAGGAGGGACATCGGGGACAGGGGATTGTTCAGGCTGGGGCTCCTGGCCAGATTAGGAGCAGGACTGCACGTCGTCACATCCATCTGCAGATTCTCCAAGACGAAAAGAAACCAGCAACAGACCTCTCCCGATTCAACTTTAAATCGGTTTATTTTTTGTTCTCTTCAAAGAAAAAACTATTTACATTTTCTTTCAGTTGTTCTGTTTCGTTTTAGATCTCTAGAACATTCACAAAGTTCAAAGCTGGAGCTGAGCGAAATGGGTGTGAAAAGGCAGAATTGTGTGAAGCCAAAATTAAAACACAAACAGGACCATGACCGGAGCACGGGATAAGAAGCAACAGCTCGTCTCATTCTGCTCCTCAGTCCAGAAACCCCACTGTTCTGTTACAGCAGAAAGGAAACCTAGGAGGTTCTTAAAATATTTAGACAACTTGAAACACTGCTGCTCACAGTTCTGTACAATCACAATACAAAAACTGGTTTAATTCCAGTTAAAAACCTACAGTATTAAATAGGTCTGTGCAAATTAAAAAACCTTGGTATCAAACAATCGACTTATCGGTAGACAATCCCACTGAACACTCGCTCATCCTAGCAGTTGGGGGTTCAAATCTAGGATTACTATCACGATACACAGGGGCAATACTGATGTCGAGAACGCCAGTGTGTACCACTGGCACTTATTAAACTTTTGACCAGCTCCGGCAAGGAGCTTTTGGCTGGAGCGGTCATCCCTCTTACCGGTCCGGATACGGACAGATATCCCTTAAGAGGTGGGGTTTCCACATCACAAGCCACATTCGTTACATAAGGTCTGACCCTTCTCGTATAAAATCAGAATACCTCCAAAACAAAACAAGCACACAGAGAGGTCACATCTCCGATCCACTGTGTAGGGGAGCTCCTGAGAGCAAAGCACGCTGGGATGGCAAGTAATACATCAAGGCGAGGATCTGTGTGTATCCCCATCTAAACTTAAAGATGCCAGGGCTTTGGGAAAATACTGCATTACGTTTTATGAACAGCACTGGAATTCTCTGTGTTCAACATTTTAATGGACCCTACTGGGAACAATGGTGAGAAAAAGACGAGACTGCCCGCCCTGCAGAATGCAGATGCAGCACCAGAAGAACTGAATCCCCATTAAATATTTATTTCTCCCACATTAAGTATAAAATCAGACTGGAATCGTTCGGGAAGACAGGTGCTGAAAGTGCGCTGGAAAAGCCCCAGAGAAAGCAGACAGGCGTAGCGTCACTTGGGATCGTGGAGTCGGAAGACGCAGAAGGTGGGAGGCAGCAGACATGCTGTAAGGTAAGGAGCTCATTTTCTCCGAAACATCTTGCATGGGAGAACATTACAGAAGGAACTATGACGTAACCTAGCACAGCTGGATCAGGCCTGCTCAGTCCTGGTCCTGGAGGGCCAGGGTGTCTGGGTTATGTCCGATGACGGCCCCAGGACCCTGACAGCTGAACGAGACAGATCTGTTGGTCCAATCCAGCCAATAACAGGCCTGGAGTCTGGAGTGAAAACCTACTGACATCACAGGCCCATTCAAGACCAGGACTGCCTCTCTACTTCTGCATATCAGTGGGTGAATTTCAAAGTTCCGGTGCAGAAAAAAAAATCACAGGGGCTGGGCTGATCTTATCTTCAAGTTCTGGACTTTGTGACGGCCTGGGTTTATAGTTCTAGACTTTGCGGTACTGGAAACATTTTTAATTTTTATTGTCCTGGGCTGTTCCAGGCTTTTCTGTACCAAATTAACCCGGTTTCTGGATCTGGACTTTACTATACGGCTCTGTTGCATAGATCTACTGGACTGATCTCCATACTCTTTATTCTGCAGTACTGTTCTACACCCTGTGCTGTACTGGACTTCACAGCTCTTCACTGAACAGTCTTGCCCTGAACTGGACCAGAAGATCCTGCACAGCTAAAAGATCACACCAAGAACAATAATCAAAGAGAAGCCAGTTAGAAAAAGGCCCCCAGTCCACCTTTCTGCTGTAAAAACCCTCCCAATATTACCATCAACGTGTTGTCACTGCCAGTTCACACCTTTTCACAAGAGTCATGTGACAGCGCGGCACCTCCTGCCCGGGGCAAAGACAACATCTACACTGTCCCCTTTTCTTTCTCTGTTCGGTAAGTGTAGGGGAATGTTTCATTGGAGGAGATATAGGCATTGGAGGGTAATCGAGAGAACAAGATAAGCTAATGCCTTTCCCTAGGTATCTGGGTAATTAACTATTCCAGCTTCCTCTGCAAGAGGTTCGTTTGACCATCCTGAGACTCAAACAAGCAATGTGCACGAACAGAGGTGAACAGGTCCCACCTAGGGAGCAGACCAGACTCTGTGCACACCGACAGCTCTCCTCCAACCCTTGCTCGTTCACAACTCAGCCCAAACCGGAGAAGCCAGAGACTTTCCTAACGGCAACTCTGCAAATCCTTTCGCAATAAGGCAACAGCCCTGAACACCTCTGTGCCTACTGCTAGCTTCCCCGAAATGGGACAATCCTCTGTGCTGTGAGCGAGGGGGTCCGGAGTCCGGCTGCCATACCAATCGGGGAACACGGGACCGATATTCAGTTCCCTAAATCCTCAATCAACCTCCAGGCCCATCGAACCAAAAATAAGTCTAGTGTTGTTGCTGCAATCGGAGGCACCGCGCCGTTGCCAGAGAGCCACACAGAGTAAGACAGAACAGCTCAGCCGACGCCTGCTGTTCTGTGAAACACCGCCCTGCCGCACAGCGACCCCTGTCCCAGAAGCACTGGGTGTCAAGATCCAGAGCAGCCAGTTCAGGCCTGGTTCCAGAAAGGCCACGACTTTCAGGTTGAATAGGTTTCAGATTTAAACCTGCTTGTCAGGCAACTTATTAAATAATACAATTTGGAGATCAATGTGAATTGGAATCTGTGCACTCCTTCAGCCTTCGAGGACCAGGCTTCTGCTGTTTGAATGGGCGACTTGCTTAATTTAGCAGTCACACACGGGTGTTGCCAATCTTTAGAAACCAGTGAAGCCTAAGGCCCACAGGATTGGAGTTCTTCAGAAACAGGTCTGTAGAGCTGCTCTATGGCATCTACAGAGCACATCCTGTTAATGGGGCTCTGTACAAGCACATTACACAGCAAATTCTGCAAGTTGGGCGCAACTGCACACTTGAAATTCCACAGCACGCTTGTAGGCACTGATCTGCAATGCTATCCCCGCAAGGGGACAGTACTTTGACAATCCTATCCAGCCACGCAGGGGGAGAATATACTCGACTCCCACGGTGCCCAATGCGGCCAGGAAACGCTATCTGGCAGAGTGGCTATTTGGCACAACTCCAGTCAAGCGCAAAGAAGCACAACACAGTCCGGCCTCCAGCACTGAGGCCGGGAAGCAAAGAAAAGGAAAATAAAAAGCCCCCCCCCTCCTCCCCATAAGCGATGGTACCAGGAATCAGCAAGTGGGTTTGAGAGCAGATGCTGGCTGCACAGCAGGGGGCAGCTCGCCCGTCGGGCCAGGCGCAGCCCAGCGCAGGTGCGCGCAGACCTCCGGCACAGAGGCTGCACAGCGGCTACATATCGGCGCTTCAGACTGGACTTTATTTTAACACTTGTGCACATGATTCAGAGGGAGACTGCCAAGGCATCTCAGTCCCATCCCTGCGCTCAGTTTCTGGAAGCTCGCTGGCCTGCGCGGCCTGGGAACGGGCGTCGACCCCCTGCCCCCTCCCCGCTGGTCGCTCACCTGGGCGAGACCACACCCCCTCGCCACACAGGTGAGGCCCGAGGGGGAGGCGCCATGGCTACGGCTCGCTCTCGGTGTTCCCCCATTTTTAAATCTGTGAGCTTTCCCCCCCCCCCCCCCCCCGCATGTCATCATAAAAAGAACGCGTGAGCCACGAGGGGTGGCTGATTTGTACAGTTAAGGCATGTCAACGAAATTGGAAAAAAACAAAAACAAAAACCAAACATCTTACATTATTTACATTAGAAGCTCTTTCTTCTTCTTTTATGTACAATATGAGACACATCACAGTCCAGCTGCTGGCCCGTTCAGAGCCAGGAGGAACAGGGGTCCCCTGAGCCTGCCCACTCACACCCCGCACCCAGCCGTGCAGGGGGGCTGGCTGATTCGGGCCGACGGTTCGAGGCGGGGCCCTCCCTGGATCTCTGCACTCCTGCCCCGGAGGTGCCCCCCCCCTGCTCCCGGCTGTGTTTGGAGAAGAGGAAGGCTCGGCGCGGAGACAGGGCCCGAGCTCCGCCGAGTCCGTCCGGCCAGGGGAGGGGCAGAGGGGGAGGGCACGAGGAAAAGATCAAATCAAATGAACCAGACTTTCCTGGAAAAGTTCCAAACCAAATCCAAACAAAAAAGGTGGGAGGGGGGATTGGAAAAACAGGAATTCGGATACACTGGGATAACAGGCGGATGATCCCCGAACCCCCTCCAACCCCTCTGCCGACACCGTCACAGCTGCTCTCCGTTCCCCAACTCCAAAGAGCTGGGCGGAGACTTGCGGCCCGTCCTTCACGAAAGGGAAACGAGCGAAGGCGGTGCCGGGGTGCAAGCTGGGAGAGGCAGGAGGAGCGAGGAGGACATTCATAGTCTGTCCGCACGGGAGGTCGAGGGAAGGTCCTTCTGAAGCTGTGGGACATGCAATTCCTGCAAAAGGGATGAGAAACAGAAAAGGGGACGCGATTCAGAGAACGGGGACAGAAGCTCACAGTTCACAGTTTAATGATGGAGCAGCTACTGCCCAAAGAACTAGAGCTGCGCGTCCCACAGAAACACACCAGAA